TCGCAGGACCAAGGTGTGCACCTGAAGGCCCCTGCCTCGACCCTCCCTCTTCTGGCCCAGGGGATTCACACTCCATGTCACCAAAGGCCCTCAAAGGTGGCAAACGCTGGACCATGAGTCCCTTGTTCAAAGAGCTACGAGGGCTGAGTCCCCTGCTTTTGTACCCAGTCCGGAATCACCAGACCTCAAGACAGCTCTTGGTTCTTCTGCAGGAACAGGCAGAGTGTATGTCTCCCCACCACCCAGAAGTTTGGTGGAGGTGGTGGGAGAGGTCACCTCCGGAAACCCACACAGTTCTGTGCAGCTTCTGGCTTCCTGGCAGCGTGGGTGTTAATGCTGCGCGTGGTCTATTACCGCCCTTCTATAGCAGCAGAGCGCTCGCCATATGGTTGTAAAGACCAGCGCCTGACCTCCTGGCCCTCCCGTGGGCTGCACCCAGGCGAGCTCCCAGCCGTATGTTTTGTGCGGCGCCTGCTGTTCCCGGAGCCTATCACCCGTCACAGTTTGTTTCTTCGCCTCAGTGTCCAAGATGGTTTTGCTCAGAAAAAGCCCCCAATTAGCTGCACCTAAGCAGCTTGGCCTGTATTGTACCCAGCACGCTAAGGGTAGCCTGTGTTTTGGAGGACAGAGGTATAGTGGGTGGCACCTCTTCCTGTGACGTGGTCACCGGTGGGCTGTGGACGTGTCATCTGGTGGGTTAGGGAATACAGGGTTTCTCCCCTTGGATGTTGTCGTCTGCCTCGACTGATTTCACCGTAAAATCTGTGTGAAGGAGCAGAAGTTGGCCAGCTGTGGTGTGAGTGTGGTACCCAGGCATGTTTTCTTCTTTCCCATCAATCCCTGGGCTCAGAAGGAATCTTACTTTGCATAAGATCTGGTACTGTGCTGTCATCACCATTGTTGTGCAGAATGAGGGATGTGTGCATCGAATTGATGATCTTGATGTCACCGGTGAATGGAGGGTTCTCTGACCACAGCATCTGGGAACTTGGGGAAATGCAGATTCTTGGGCCCCACCCCAGTTGGCTCAGGAACTCTCGGGTGCCCCCTGCCGTGTCGTAGTGAGCCTTGTGATAAGTCTGACACCCTCCACGGTTTGAAATCCACTGTAAAATATCCTGCAGTGATGGACATGTCCAGTACAGGAACAACCAGCCACGTGTGGCTGTTGTGACCAAACAGTGGAACTGTGTGTTTTATTTAATCTTGATTAATCTAGATTTAAACAGTCACACAATTAGTGGGTGCCCTTTGAACAGCCCAGCCTCAGAACTTACTCTGCTCTGCGTTGTTACATGGACACCTAAAACGCTCTAAAAGAATTATTAGTTGTAGAGTTATTAACTTTGTATTGTGGGACAAACTCCAAGAGTGAAAATCCTGTCACTGTAACTAGTTTATTTTGATTCTCCTTTTGCAGGACAGGAGTTTACAAGTTGCCAGCCAGCTGAAGGAAGCTGAGTTTGGGCCAACACATAAGATAGACAAATCTCGAATAATATTTCTGATCTTTGATTTAGGAGGATTTGAAGGATGAGAGGGCCTGGCTAGCCTTGTTAGTGTGAATTGGTTAAAATCCCAGGAGACGTTGCAACTCCAGTCTCCGGGTGTAGTTCTTGGGCCATGCCCACTGCTCTGTCCGCTTTTCCAAAGCACCAGCAGAAGCCCTGGGCCGAGAGGGACCCAGAGGCTGTGTGATCCTATGGTTGGAGCGGAACTTCCTGTGTAGGAGCCCGGGAAGCCCAAGCATGGCTGCAATCTTTCTCCCAAATTTAGCAACCAGAGTCTCAAAACTGAAGGAGCTGTCCTTGGTAAAAGAGAAAGTGACGCTGAATTTGTCAGAAGCAAAAGTCGACATGACTGAGCTTCCTAATTGGGGACCCTATTGTTGCATTATTTAAATCCGTTATCATTGATTTTCATAATCCATCTCTTCTTTGACTCATAAATGTTGAAAACTGGTGGAAGAGTGTTTAGAAATGGCCATTATCCAGCCTTCTCATTTTACACTTGAGACATTGGAGGCCCAGAGAGGTTGTGCATTGAGTAAGGGCACACAGAGCAAAGACGTGGCTGGGTCAGGCGGGCCTGAGTCAGCCCTGCACCCCACTGCCCCTCCACACTTCTTCTGTGTGCTCAGTTCTGCCTTGCCTCTGTGCCCCGCAGGTACAGCTGGGGGTCATAGCTCGGAGACGGACAGATTGAAAGAACAGGGAGGTCTCAGTGGTGTAACATGAAGTACACTAGTGCTAACTGCCCACCTAGTCTGTGAAATGCTTCTTGCAAATGCGTCACACAGATACCTTGAAATGTTTTAGTAGAGAACTTGGGTGAAATATTGCTACCACCTTTTCATAATAGCTAAAATTATTTGTGCTATGTATATATATGCTTCAGTCATCATATGACTTGTATTGTTAGGCTTTTGAATATGTGCTGCCGAAGTGAGCACAGTATTGTTAACCTTTTGAGTAGACAGTTTTGTTGGAATTAGCTTGCTTTCCAAGCACTAGGTCCATTTCAGGTTTAACTCTGGTACCCTTTCTTTTGTAACTCTATCTTAAAATAGCATGGCTGTCTCACTTTGTCCCCAAAAGCATTGCTACATGCACACCAGGAGTATGATGCTGTGAACATAATAAACATTTGCTAAATATTGGTGGAAAGAATGAATGCATCCCATTCAGACAGGTCTGAACGTTAGCTTCTTTTGATATTGACTGTGATTGGGGAAAAAAAGTTTGTACTTTAGGGAAAATACTAGCAATGTGATTTTTTTTTTCTGGCTCTAGCTTAAATGAAGTCTTATACACACAGAAAATTCACATGCACACCAAAAGGCTGGGAGAAGAGTGGTAAATTGAATGTGGAGTTATTGTTTGTGTCCACAAAACAGGAGTCCTAAATCACATTTAGCATAATTTGTGGTTTTAAATTGGACCGATTTGGAAACACAGTGAAATAATCTCTCATCCTGTCAAAGGGGTGATACCTTCAGACCAGCATCTAATTGCATTGGCAGAGTAACTTCGTGGTGACGGCAGTAGTTCGGGCCGCATTATTCTTTGTTTGTGGCTAAAGTGAGATCATCATTTTCTCCTGGTTTCACAAACTTCCTTTATTGCTCTTCAAACTAATCAGATCAGTGTGGTGAGGGTGGGTTTCCTGGTTGCTGGAGGGCGGACGGGAGGAAAGGGTTAGGTCTCTGAGTCACTGCACTTCGCAGAGTGGGGAGAGAACAGGGCAAAGTGAGGTACAGTGACACATTCCCAGCTGGCTCCATGATTCTGTGAAAACGCTCATCTCCAGCCACTTCAGGGGCCAAGGCAAAGCCCGGTTACTGGGCCACTGTCCGCTGCCTGTGAGTGGTAATCCAGAGTGATTTCTAGTTTTCACAGCCCCTCCTTCCCGTGAAGGCATCTCCTTTCCCTTGTGCCATGCCTTCCCTCTCTCCAAAAGAAATCAAGCATCGATTGATTGATTGATTGGTATCATCGATATCTTAGACATTTCTCAGCCCTGAAAATGATGCCTCAGGCCTGTAATGGGCAGTGCATTCTCTACTGCGTTCCCCTGGGAGTTATCAACTGGCGTCCTCGATGGCTGTAGTGTGCTTGGAATTTCACACGTGCCTTGCTCACAGGCCCAAGCCCAGGGGCTCCTGGTTCGGTGGAGACTTGAGCATCGGGCAGGCAGTGTGGCTGTTCCAGCCTTCGGGGCCAGAAGGGAAGGAGAGAGCTGGTGGGTGCCAGCAGGTGGAACCCACATTCTCGTGCTGGACTCGAGGCACATGTCACAAAGTCATCAGTTTGTAGAAAGGTTGAGTAGCAAATGGGATGGGTAAATTGCAGCCTGGGCAGAGTCCTTTTGCTCCCAGTTCCAAGTTGGATATTTGTCCCTCAGTATCCTTGGGTATTTAGTTCCAGGAGCCCCTAATATACCAAAATCCAAGGATGCTAACTCTCTGGTGTACAATAGTATGGTATTTGCTTATAGCCTATGCACATCCTCCATATACTTTAAACCACCTCTAGATTGCTTATAATATCTACTATAATGTAAATGTCATATAAATAGCTATTATATTGCATTGTTTAAGGACACATGACAAAAGGCAAAAGTCTGTCCATGTTGGATCTGTCGGTGGTTGAATCTGTAGACTTGGAACCCACAGACATTGAAGACTGGCTGTATTTTTGAGATAACGATGTCTTTGACTTTAAATTTGTATTTGCAGATATAGACTACAGGAAAGGAAGACCCTTCCTTACAGGTCCCAAGTGATTGTTTTGCAACTTTGATCTGCATACTGCTATTCATAGCATGCTACTCAGTTTGGCTTTTTGTATTTCTATGTAATAACAGTGTACCGATTGTTATTAATCTGATGTAACCTGTGTGTGTGTGTATTAACCAAGGTACATTACTCCAGAGGCCCAAATCAGAAAATAGGCAGGTTGAATATTTTATCATTTAAGATTGAGCTTAAATTGTGATTTACTACAATGTTAAAGAGGACAGCCCTTCAGATACTGGACTGTTTAAAGAGCTTCAATGTGGGACCATCTCACAGGAAGGGATTTGAGGTTTGCAGTCTGTCTTCTGGTGGAGATATAGGAGAACCAAAAGGAAGAAAACAGCTGCACTTATTAGACGTATGGCAATTAGAAGTCTGTGGACTCTATTAATCACTTACAGTCAGTTATGGTGCAGAAATTCCTTTTTGTCCCTCCTTTTTTTCTGCCCTCTTCCTCACTCTTCATCTGATACAACTCATGCCAAGTGTTTTGATCTGATTATCCAAGAAGAAACATTTCTGCTTCGACTTGTTGGTGAGATACTACCTGAGAACCTAGAGCAAACAAGCAAAAACTGTATGTGAATTACAGGGTCGTATTGGAGTTACATCTTTCATTAGAAAGAAAAACAAAATGTGTTGCTGGTGCTCCTCCTGGCTAGGAGAGGCTCCTGGACTCACAGCCTGCATTTTGTCTCCATAGCTGTGCCACCAAACGTAGCAGAGCTGAAGAACTTGGAAGTGCTTAACCTTTTTAATAACCAGATTGAAGAGTTGCCCACACAGATCAGCAGCCTTCAGAAACTCAAGCACCTGAACCTTGGGTGAGTACTGGAGTGGAGAAAGGAAGAGAGCAGCAGGGGAGTGAGGAGTGGAACAAAGGCCAGGGGCACCACTCAGACTGCTGCATACAAGTGCGTTTCCAATTTCTTTGTATGTTTTGGGTTTTTAAAAAAAGTTTTATTGTTTTAATATATCCTTTCAATGGCCTACATCAGTGCATATCTAGTTGAGAACTAATTGAGAAACTAATTGTTGGCACAATAAGGGAGTGTTTTACTGTATTTTGTTTCCAATAGAATTTTTTATTTCAGTTTATGTTGACCGAGAAGGGACTTGTTTGCATAGCATTAGCTGTTCAAGCAAGTTATAATATGGCTGATTTTTTTTTTCCTCTCTGTCATAAGTAGAAATATTTTACAAAGTGCAAGGGGAAGATACCATTCTTTAGTGCTGCTTTATTAATTCTTGCAGTTCTCCTCTGTGGTCAGGAGGTTACAATCCTATGTCTTTATGCACAGATAAAGAGAGGAACGTTGATTCAGGCGAGGTGGCAGAACCAAGAAGCAGTGAATAATAATAATTCCCTGTACTCCTGGATTGCTTCACATTCTCACAGTCCTCAGGCCAGCTGTTGACGCCCTCCACATTTGTGAGGCAGGGAGGGAAGGCGCTACTGCTTGTGTTTCATGGGAGGAGGCGGAGCCTTTGCCAAGGGATTAGAGGACTTGCTTCCTGCTTACACCCCATTTGGGTGGCTGAAAGGAGGGAATCCCATTGGTGTGGCTCCATTCTGTCTCCGTCACACTCCATAGATGCCAGCCACAACTGAGGCTTCTGAGTTCTGTCTTCATTGTCATAGCTATTAGGTGAAGGTGCTCATTCATGCTTCATTCTCTGTGCAGACTAAAATATTCATTAAATGGTAGCCACTAAATGCTCCAGCCAAGTCAGTGATTTACATGGAGTGGCAGTAGAAACTGGCCAGGTGTTTATCAGTTTAGCAGGAAGGAAGCACGACGAAAAATCTTACCCATGAAATGCTTGTTAATTTATTCTTTGCGCAGGAGTTTGATTAGACATTCTTAGTGCGAAGCCCACTCAGGCTAAGGGACCATCTCTGTAAGACCCATGAGCATTCTTTTTTCTAACGTATGAGGGGAAGTGGAGTTTAAAGGAGGGAGAAACCTCACTTTACAATAGATGATTCGTCCCTCTGCGTATTTGGAAACTATTCCCATCTGGCAAAGCAGTAAAGCAAGGATCCTACATTTATTGAAGATTATTAAGTCTCAGTGCCTAATTGGCACATAAGTAAGAAGCTAAAACTAGATATAGGGATATATTTGTACTGTTAATTTGTTCATTTATTACATGAGTTATATATAGTTCCATCCTTTGGAACATAGCCTAGTGCATGGTAAGCAGGGCATAGCATTAGCTGTTATTGTCGATATCATTGTTTTATTTAGTGTCTCCTCTTTTTTTTGAACATGGAAATGCCTGTTTTGTGCCAGTAGTCTTGCTCGTCTTGGGGGTCAAAGGTGAAAGTCGTGGTCTGGGTTAGGGTTAGGGGCCAGGCCTGCTGTGGGTCAACAGTGACAGCACAGCAGGGTCCCAGACACTGGGGCTGATGGAACCCCAGCAGACAGAGAGACAGGGAGCACGCTGGTCTACACGTGAGGTCCTCAGGAGAATTCGCACAGGGAGCACCGGACTCCCAACTTAACACGCAAGAAGGAATTTCTCAGACTCAGAAGCAGAAAGAAGGAAGGCATCTCAGGTTGAGATTATCGGTGACCTATTTAAAAGCTCAGAGCACTGCATGTCTGGGGAGTTTCATTGCAAGTTTATTGATCTTGCTGAGTACACGACATGGGGCAAGGAGGGTCAGGTGAGAGGCGAGGCTGGACAGGCCATTGTGACTGTCTGCTGCTCATTTAATGAGTTCTTGGGAAATTCCCAACTGGATACCAGTTGCCATTCTAGGTAGCAACCATTCCACCCCCATGGAGCTCTGTGACAGCTGGGGAAACCAACCATGAAAAAAATATGGCAGAGAATCAGAAGTGCTAATGAAGGGCCTCATGAGCTATGTAAAGGAGCTTTGGTTTTACCCTACTGCCCATTGGGGAAGGTGCAGGGTCGAGTAGTGAGTATGAGTTGAGGTCAGATTTTTCTATGAAAGATCAGAGTAGAGAGGGGCGGAAGGAACTGGACTGAAGGCTGGAAGGCCAGCAAGAATGCCAGATCAATGCCTCAGGTGACGAAGGCAGGGACAGTGGAGCCATGGGAGAGATTTTATGTGCAAATATATGGAGGGAAAAGTTGGCAACACAATCATGGATGGGGTAGAATGATACCTACATTTCTGTTTGCAGCTAAAATGGAAATATAAGTGGAGGCCAGTTGGGGGAAAAGATAATGAACCTTGGTTTTGTTCACTTAGTTTTGGCATGTGTTAGGACAGGGTGGTAGACTTGCCTCTTTGATTTATTATGTCGCAGTTTCCTCCTCGTCCTCTGTGGAGTTCTTTGCATTTTTGGCCTTTGAAGCTTCATTGATTGTAGAATGCTTTCTGTATTTAGTGACATAGTTACATCGGCAGGGTTGTCAAAGTTCGAACAAAATTTTTATTTCTTTGGCAAAGAAATTAAGAAAGGTTTCAGTAAAGGATACCCTATCTTGAAATGGCACAAGGAATTAAACACACGCAGCTATGCAGGGTTAAGGCAAGTTGTAGAGAGGAAGGACTATTAGGAGTAACCATCCGGATAAAAACTTACACTTGGAGACCTGGGAGCTACAGCAGTTAGGCCACATGCATCCAGAAGACACCCTGAGCAGAATTTGCTTTTAAAGTTGTATCATATTTGCTGTTTCTTCTGATGAGCGCAAGACCTGAAAATATTTTAGACCACCTGCTTAAATAAAAGAATGTTTTGTTGTGTTCTTAATTCTTTAAACAGGGTTCACCTTACTTACAGAGTTATTTTCTAAGAAATGTAAAACCACACAGATGCCACAATGGTACAGTAACACTTTCCGGGATTAATTCACTATGGGTCAACCTTTCCACCGATTCTGGGATAACTCTCAGCCTGGTTTGTTTGTAGAGCTCATCTCACGAACACTTCGTAGTTAGTGAACCGAGGAGGATACTTGGCAAACATGCTTCATAAATAGTGAATTGATAGAAAATCTGGGTCATCATTATCACTGCAGCAAATAGTCACGTTTTGCCCTGTGAAAAGTCTACCTGAGCGATAGAAATTCACTTTTCTCTTTTGGTCTTCCTTCTGCTGTCGGTCATTTCTTGTGAGGCCTGATTGGTGAGGGTGGACAGGACTGCATCTCTTATGAGAAAGATCAATGGCTAGAAGAAGTTTTAGTGTCTCAGTCGCTCCTATCTTTGAATATCTGTCAACTTAAAGTTGTTTTTTTAATTGACTTTTAAGTATGTTCAAAGGAAACTGCATTTTAAAAAAAGGATCTTGAAAAGGATAAAAGTTGGTAAAAGCAAAAACGTTTTCCTTGGGTTTCATTGGACTCACACACACACACACACGCACGCACGCACACACGTATCCAAAAATTTACCATCTTAATCATCCTATAGTGCACAATTCAGATTCAGTAGTGGTACAGTATTTTCACATTGTTGTGCAACTAATTTCTGGAAGTTTCTCTTCTTGCAAACCTGAAACCCTATAAGCATTAAACAATAATCCCTTCTCACCTCCTGACAAGCACTACTCTAATTGGAGATCATTTTTAATACTGATAGTTTTGAGTTTTCTCCCTTCCATTAAAAGAAATAAATGAAATAAAACAAATAAAAATAAAACAAATCAAATGGTTGTAAAACAGCAATACTAAATATGCATTTCTGAGGGAGCATTGCTGCATTTATTAGGAAGTTTTTCTCTAGACAGACAAATATTTTGTGATGGTTTCAGTTTCTATACAAAATAGTAATTGAACTTCACCACTGGAGAAAATGACAACTGGGAAATTTTCAAATCTTTCACAAATACATAGATTTTCTGACTACAATTATTAGATGGAGTAAGACAAATATCTCACTTATGTGGGACTGTGAAAAAAGCTAAACTCACAGAAGCGGGGTAGATTGGTGGTCACCAGAGGCCTAGTGAGTGGGGGCTTGGGGCACGTTAGACACAGGACACAAGACACAGAATTGCAGGGGGTAGGAGTAAGTTCCAGAGAGCAGCTGTACATCATGCTAAGTGCACTGTATAACAAAATATATGCTGTATTTGAGAATTGCTAAGAGAGTAGCTTCTTTTGAGCATTCTCACCACATGCAAAATAAATATGACATAATGCTTGTGAGATGGCTTGAGTGACTTCACACTGTGCAGTATTATTAGCACATACAATTTTTATTTGTCAATAAAATTACGTTTAAAAAACACAAAATACATGTAGAATCTTGGCACTTTTTAAGGCTTTGAGCCAGTCAAAGAGTAGTGTAAATTGCCAGTGTTGTATGTAAATGTGTCTTGTGTGTGATAATTCGTGTTCTCTTCCCCACAGCATGAACAGGCTAAACACTCTGCCTCGAGGGTTTGGCTCACTCCCAGCTCTCGAAGTCCTGGACTTGACTTACAACAACTTGAATGAAAATTCTCTTCCTGGAAATTTCTTTTACCTTAGTAAGAAACTTTTAATTCTATAAATCTCTTTAGCATGGTACTTTGGGTTCTAAGAATAAAATTTATTTGCCAGGGCCCAAACTCTTAAGAGAAATTATGAGACATATATATTTTTTTCTTTGCAGATTACCTATGAATATTCTTTCGTAGCTCAGCAGTATTTATAGTTGATATATAGTCATCTGACACCTCTGGGCGGAAGTGGACTTAGCAATGTCATATTAACTTTCCAAGAGAGATTTTGGAACTAAATGAGATCAAGTCTCACATTTAGCTAAGAAACTTGACTTTCTTTTTAAGAATGTGCTCCCAAAAAGGTACTCCCATGTTGCTCTTAATTCTTTGTAAGATATTTGCCCAAAGATACTCCAGACAGTTACTTACAGAAATACCCATTAATAAACTGCTAACTGAATTTTTAAAATTTCCAGCCAGAATTCTTGTTTTATTTTGGAAAAGTGCTTTATTGATGTAACCTGTTTTGTCCACTGTACAAACATTAAAATATTGACAGACACATTTGATCTTTTCATGTGCAAATAAATGTCTGTGCAGGTACTCCTAAAAATTAGGAAACATTGATTCTCTACGAACCCATTACCAAATACTTCAATTTAGGAAAAAGTCGCATGCCTTTAATGAATATTCTGCTTTTCCAGTGACATCTGGGACATCCAGAAAGTTCTCAATTTTCTGAGCTAGTCTAGGTAGCTAATTTCATTTTTTACCTTATGTACTCTGCCTCTCAAGACTTTCTCAGGCACATGAAACCAGTTCTGAAATATTTTCTTTCTTAGGGCTATGGAAAAAATTGTTACCGTCATGCATATTAACATACAGTTCTGTTGAATTTTAGAACATTTACTGCCTATAAACAAATCAAAAAAAAATCATACATCTTAGTATACCGTAGCCCCTTTTTGTGTTGAGGGTAAAGAGATGCTCTGGGATTTTAGCAATTAGTTAGGGATCATATCATTGTTGTGTAAGATCATGAACAAAGGAATACCGAGATTCTATTTAGCTGTATTCTTTTTAACTCCATGCCATTGTCTTTATATATTTTTGTCATTGAGGTCATAGACACAAGTAGTAATAATTAGTCTGATTGTGGAAATGGTGAACTGCAATTATGGCTCCCATCACCGGAAAGCCTTTCATTTATTTATTTATTGTGAGCATCATTGTACTACATACGAAAGTTCTATTGTGACATGGTCCTGTTTCCATGCGAGAGCCCTTTTGTTCTGTGTTCAAAAGGAAGTGACACAGTGGCTCTCTTCCTTTTACTTTGAATGCAAATGGAGTAATAAATGTGAATCACAAGGAATAGAGAAAAATAAGCTGTCCTTTCTGGAAATGCACGAAACTCTATGCCCAAAACTGCCGTCTATGTCCACAGTTGTTAATTGTGCCAGTCCTCTTGGATATAGATGTTTTCCTGGACACACCAACCACACAATCAGCCAGTACATCTAAGTCTGACCTGCTTGTTATTATAGTGAGGCCTAGGTGTGTCACAGGCTTTTCACCAAGCCAGGGTTATTAATCAAAGCTGACTCCCACGTATTGATCAGACCTCAAATGGTTGGGTTCCATGCCATCCTGTTTATATATTGCTGTTTAATTTGCAGCCACCCTGCGTGCACTCTATCTAAGTGACAACGATTTTGAAATCCTGCCGCCAGATATTGGGAAGCTCACAAAGTTGCAGATAGTAAGTAATTTATCTAAATTCTTAGAAAATCAATTCACTTCTGCAGCCCTTGTAAGAGTAGAATGGAGTCAATTTGAGCAGGAGTAAGGTTTGTTTTGCAGGAATAAACCACCATTCCTGATACTGTTTCTTGTTTAGCAGCAGTCACTTGTAAATAAATTGAAAGAATTGAGCCTGAGAAAAAGAAAGAATGTGGGAGAGTGCAAGAGTTTCTGTTGAGCGCCTTTTTGTGAGGAATTGTTCTGACAACTGCTTGTTTTCTAATACTTAGCTCAGCCTTAGGGATAACGACCTGATCTCACTGCCCAAGGAAATTGGGGAGCTGACCCAGCTCAAGGAACTCCACATTCAGGGAAACCGCCTGACCGTTCTGCCCCCAGAACTAGGTAAGGCTGCTGATGAATGATCTTTCTTCTTCAGTTAATTAATAACAATTATCCAAATGTAGCAATTCTTTTTTTTTT